GACTCTGCCTCGAAGCTTCTTGATTCAGCTCTACCTCAACAGGGTCCTAAAGATGCAGTGCCCGCCAAGGTAATGGAGATGGTGTCCACCATGGCCAGGAAAGTACCCCTGTCGCTCCCCTCTCCTAGTCCCCTTCTTCCTCCTCCTCCTGCCCAAGCTCCTCCACCATAGCCAAGGTGGAGAGCTCGGCGCTGCTCCTTCCCCAGCAGCGCTGCTCCACCACGTGCTCCAGCAGCGTGTTGCCCAAACTTGCACGCAGCAAATGAGGAAGAGCTCATTGCTCTTCCCGGTGATATAAAGAGGCAGCAGCCTCCTTGGGGGGGAACTTCCAGACCGCGCGGCCTCCAGGTAACCGGTGTCTCCTCCCTTTCGGAGGGAAACGTCACTGCAGGCTCTGATATCGTCCGAACAGGCCCTAGAGTCAGACTACTTGGACTGGTATCCGCCTAGACCTGCCGTACCGCTACTGGGCCTCTAAAATGCCAACTTTTTGTCTTCTGCTCGGCCTCCAGTCCCTGACACATCTACAGCTACTTGAGTGGCACTGGCCTACCTACTGCGTGTTTTCCCCCCCGCTGCTCTAAGCGCCATGGGCCTACTCTGTGGCATGCTGCGTAGCCATACGGGCCCTGCAGGGCCCGTCCCGGACATTCAGCCTAAAAGCCTAAAACTTAGGGCTTACAGGCCCCGTTCGTTTCAGCCTGAAAGCTGAAAAACGAGGGCCTGCAGGCCCTACCCCGTTTCAGCCTATTTCTGGGTCTTTTCAGACCCAGAGTTTTCAGCCTGAAACGGAGGGCCATTTTCAGGCCCTCATTGTTTCGACCTGCCCCTAAGACTCAGGCACGTAAACAGGGATGCGGAACAGGCCAGAAATAGCCTGTTCCTCACGAGTTTGAGCAGGAGCTGCAGCTGCAGCCCCTGCCTCCCTTCGGCAGGCTCAGGAGGCACACCGGGTAGTACATAGGAAGTTCCCATGCACTTCACGGGAAGGTAGTTCGGTAGGCACGAGGTAGTCTTCAGGAATTCCGCCGCAGCACTCAGGAGGAGCGCTGCAGTAGTCTTCAGCGCTAGTGGTATTTAGCGATAGCTGTAGTCTTCGGCGCTGGGCGCCATAGCT